TCTCCTCTCCTCTCCTCTCCTCTCCTCTCCTCTCCTCTCCTCTCCTCTTTTCAGAGTCCAGGCTCTTGTCCTCCTCAGGGCCCCTCTCTCTGCCCCCCCTCTCCATCCTCATTTCTGAACGAGCTCCAGGGTTGATTTCCTGCATGTTTGAATAGGACCAGCTTGACACAGCCTGCCTTAGGATGAAATCACCAACTTGGCTTGCCTTCTGTCTGAAAAACAAATCCTTCTGCAGGGCTTTCATCTAGAAAAAGGAGAAGGATTCTGAAATGCAGGCAGGCCTCTGCCAAGTTCCTGTGAACTGCTGCCTGAGTAAAGCTTATGTTTTCTGTGTACTCAGCTTAACTTTAATAAAGGTAACCTACCTGAGATCTTACCCTAAAAACCATCAACAGATCTCTTCTTGTTCCCTCCCTTAGTGGCTCAAAATAAGGAAGCAGAACAGAGGGAAGCAAGGCATGGGTTCTTGCAGGAACTCGCTGTTCCCACAGAAATGGGAAATCTCACTCGCTGTGGCAGCAAAGACCAGGGCAAGCAGAGAAAGGGAAACTACAACACCAAGCTCAGAGTGAGAGGACTTTTCTTCCATGTTCCAATCTTCCCAGGTATTTAGGTTGTTACAGGAATATCATCTTCTGCATACCTGGGCTTTAGCTTTCCTATCACTGTGCAGGAAATGACGATGGTGATGGTGATGGTGATGGTGATGGTGATGGTGATGGTGATGGTGATGGTGATAACTCTGGGGGAGCTGAGAGCTCTGCAGGCATTTTTTGGTGTGCAAGCAGCACCATGCAAAGGCAAAGGGGTCTGACATGCACTGTGGCTCCTGCACTGCTTTTGGGACAGAGTTCCTTCTGTGACAGTCCTCAAATCTGCCAAGCAATTGATGGGCTGTTCCAGCTACAGATGGTTGGCAGTATTTGCATCCTGCCTGAGTAAGATGCCAAAAGGAGAAGGGATCAGTTGCATTTGAAACCTCTAAGTTATCCCAAGTTCTGTCTCTGCATTGTCCAGCCTCTCTAATTTCCTCTCCCAGAAGAGAAAATGAAAGAGGAGTGGAGATGAGCAGAGGAGTGGAGATGAGCAGCACAGCAGAGTCCTGGAGGTGAGAGATGCAGTTTGGGCTCAGTGCTGGGTGTGGTTTGGGGGTTCCAGCCCAGTCCTGCTCAG